CGCGCGTGCATGGACGACACGCGCGCACGAGTCGACGAAGATATAGCCCTGGATTCGTCTCGTTTGCGCTCGTCCACTCGGCTCGGCTCTGCCGCGAGCATCGCCGCCGCCGCCGCCGCTGCCGCTGCCGCCGTCACTGCCACCGCTGCCACCGTCTCTACTACCACTACCTCCACCACTTCCTCGACCACCGCCGCCACCTGCCGCGTCCCGAGACGCAAGAGGAAGAAGAGAAGGCGTCAGCGACTCGCTACGAGCAACGACGACGTGGTCACCTCCCGGAGTGCTACGTCGAGCAATAACGCCGCCGTAGCCGAGGGTACCGACGCCGTCGTCGTCCTCGAGTCCGACGCTGACGCCGTCGACGCCGCCGCCGGCGCCGCCGCCAACGCAGCCACCGCAGAGACAGACCCACCGGCCGCACGGGTCGATAAACTGAGGAGCCGCCTCCTCGGCGAGCAGAACACCGCGGCAAGCGGGGAGGCCCAACAACAATTACGTGTTGGAGGAAGCGGCTCGCGTGCGGCCGCCTCCTCCGTCGGCACCGCCGGCGTCACGCTTCTCAATCGGCGCGCCGGCAAGCGCTCGCCACGGCGATGCAACGCCGCCGGCGGACGTAGAAGCGCGATGACGATGGACCTACAGCGGCTGATCAACGAGGTGCACGCGAGGCCCGCGATCTGGGACCAGAAGAACGTCAACTACCACAACCGTGACGTCATACTGAAGATGTGGCGGGAGATCGCGAGGGCATGCGAGGTGTCGAGTGAGTATAAGGATCTGGCCCCAGCCGATCGACGAACGATGCTCCTCTCCTCTACCCGCGAAACGTATCCTCGTCCCTTCTCCCCACCCCCTCCCCGCGTTATACGTTTGTGTACGTGTTGCCGCGCACGTGCACGTGTGGGTGGTTGTTGGCGAGATTGGTCGCTCGATGGGTGGGTGGGATACGCTGGGCACGAGTCGATTGGTCGCCTAGTCCGTACAATGTACGAATGCGAGCTCCGCGACCCTGAGGTCGTTCGAGATATCTCGCTACGCATGATATGAATCAAGACGAAGGCTAACGAGATCGAAGAAGGCGAGAGGGGAAGAGAAAAGAGAGACTCGTCGGTAAAAACGACGAGGACTCGAGCGGGTCTCGCGGAGCCGGGCGGCTACTCGTTAACGCGGACCCGCTCGCTGGAACCATCGTCTGGAAGGTCGATAGCTCGCGAAAAGAGAGGTCGACCAGAGAGATAGGCTGCTAGTTCACGCGGATCACCGCCAGGTTGCACGCTGATACCGACACTGGAGTACACGCGACCGCCTGGCACGATTTTTTTTTTCCACGCGTGTACAACGCAGTTGCCCACGGTAGCACGTGCGCGCGGAATGCTAACACGTCCGTCACGATGAGCGAAAGTGATGTCGATCGTAAGATAGTACCGTGGGAGAGAATAGATTGCTTCTTTCATGAGATTTGATGCTTTGTAAAATAAAACGGCGCTATTATATTAAAATAATGAAATTGCTTCGAAATTGATTGATTTTTTTCATCAATAAATACGAACTTCTCAGTCTAATTAGGGACGAATAAAAATTTATATTCATACTCTGAAACCTCTTTTATCGATTAGCTTCATATATTTCCATGTATATTTATTTAAGAGTTTTATTTACTTAATTCTACGACGTTTTATCGCTGGATTAAAGAAAATTTCAATAGTAGGCAGTTTTTTGGCAGGAGAAATATTATTTTGAAGATAATGAAAAATTATCTTTCAGTTTACGGAGTAGATTGTACATTCAACTGCTTTTTAATTTACGCACATAAAGACGTAGCCATCGCGCTTTGTTGCAGCGGACGTCGCCAAGTCGAAATGGAAACATCTGCGCGACAACTTCCGGAACGAATTGAAAAAGACCTATCGGGGTAAGTGCGACGGTGTCGGCACCGAGCACGATTCCAAATGGGTCTGGTTCAAAAGCCTGTTCTTTCTGCGGGACCAAATGAACTCGAGGGTGATCGGCTGCGCCCTGTCTCAGAATTGCGTCGGCGCGACGGTCAATATGCGCTCGTCGCCGGATGGCACGCAAATCGAACCGCAGATCGATATCCTGGAGGGCCACGAGGAGACGCAGTTTGATGACCTAGACGGTGATTCCTGCCAATCGTTGCTGTCCAACGATGACGGTCTGCATCAGGTGATGCCGCCGCCGAAGATGAACAAGATAATCGGTCGGAAACGAGCGCTAATGGACGCGATCGACAACGATTACGGCGTGGAGGTGGATCGGGAACGGTACGAGTCGCTGCAGAAAAGACTGGCGATTGGTCCCGAGGACGAAGACGATACCTATCATTTCCTCATGAGCGTGCGAAATCCTCTGAGAAGTCTGCCGCTCGACAGGCAAATGTTTGTTCGTCTCAAGATCCAGGAGTTGGTCTACAACGAGATCAACTCGCAGAATCAGCAGCAACAGCAGACCACGAGCCGCGGAGCCTATGACGCTTCCTCGCAGAACCAAGACGTAAAACCCCCACGCACCGGAAACGGTGGCAATGGAGTTGCCGATGTCGTCAGCGATATGTCCAATCCGGCGTCGTTGCTGCAGAACTGTACGCCCGAAGGTTCCGGCGATGACGCCTTCTTCGGCTGACCGTAGCCCGTTCGCAGTTCAATTCGCGAATAGACGTAAGAATTATAATTTTAATAGAGAATAAACAATGGTATTTTTTCAGTAACATTCGCGTTCGTCGCGTTCTTTTCTCCCATTTCTCCATCACGATAATCCTCTTCCGCTTTTAAATCTTACAGAGAAGTTTTTCATTTGGATTTCTAATTTCACCATTTTTTATAGTGAAAATCTTTTTCCTCAATTTGGAGATTTAGCTAGAGAATATCACAAGGAATAATTGCTTTAAAAAATTTAAAAAAAGAATACTGTTCACACTCACATTTCGAACGAAGAGAAAGTAATCAACTATAACGGGAGTATTGCCTTTAACGTGACCGTGAGAGTCTTATAATTCGTCACTTTTGTTGCGAAGTGAAGTCTCGCACAAAACGAGTTTGCAGTGATATTCTTAAAGCTTAAGGAAAAATATCGCCCGATATTCACGTTTTCGCGTTCTGGAGTTGATACTTGAAATACCCTCATCTTTGTCTCGCCGCCTAGGTAAGCTTTTTAATTAACGAAGCACCAGCTGTCGGGACAATTAGTATTATTAACGCTCTCGCGCGCTTCACTTATCTACATCGTAGACACAGAAGCCTAATTATATTCCGTAGTAATTGATTTCTCGTATCGTCGCATTTTTCACTTTTCGTAATTAAAAGGCGCGGGTCAGCGGGAAAACATCGCACGCTACATCGAAGCTGATCCGGCTCCACACGCGCGGCGATCGGACAAAGAAAACACAATATGGGAGGGTACGATGCCCTAACCGCGGGAAAGCAATCCGGGAGGGTGTGGAGTCGACCAAATATCGATATACATCACGTTCATTAACCCTTCGCTACGCCGAGTGATGACAAGCGGCTGATTTACGCATTAATGACAAGCTGACCTTTGCTCTAAACGAAAATATAAAATGAGACCTTTTTTTCGCAGGTAGTAAATGTGAAATATTTTAAATGAATGTTATTGTAAATTCCTTTTGAACGACGCTTACGGTTTCAACTTTTGCATATGTGTGAATTCAGTTTCACGCGTATGTGAGTTAATAAGCTAATGTAACTTAATAAATGGCATTTTTTCACGTTGGTATATAATGATATATTATTAATAAAACATATAATATTCAGGGAATATGTTAACCTATTTACGTCATTAGAGATCAGGCGTGCAAAGTTGTGCGAAACTCATCCTCCCTCTTTATGACGGGTATTTTAGCTGTTTCGACGAGTTTTCTGAAACCGACTAATGAGGTACAGAACGTGAATAGAAGTATCGCACCTGCGTCATTACGACACTTTTTTCTGGACTGTAAAACCACTCACTGTGCTGAGTAAAGACCGTGTTTCTCGCAAACCTCTGCTTTTTATGCGAATTTTTAAATAACTAGAATTAAAAAATAATATTTTTCCACAATTTTAATATACGAACCATAAAAATAATATATTTTATTTGTGTTACTATCATGAAAATATTCTCTCTCTTACGAAATGATTCTACTTATGTAATAAAATTAATGATATTTGACAATATATTTCAACATGAAATTTATCCAAGCAAATGCCGATCATGTTTTTTTAATACTGAAATAATATTGATCAATGGACAGTGTTATACGTTCTGAGAATTAATGGCATGCTGTTTGTTATAATATATTTTTTCCGGTAGACACGAACTGCGTGTGTGAGTAAAATACGAGGGCGTGTAATCACACTCGATGTTACTCCGCCCTACACGTTACGAGTGGAATAGAAAAACAGAGTTATCGTGTTCTGACTACGTTGATGGCTGGACATCGATCATTTAACGGTCACGCGTGCTGGGGCATATCAATCATATTTAAAAAAAAAAAAAATCTCACTTTGTCACAGGATAATCAAGTATCGGTAGAGTCTCCGACTCAGATTTTGCATGTTAACTATATACTAAATAAATTCAAATAATTTTGATTAGCGTGAAAAGATTAATGGGATGCAACAAAAATATGTAACAAAACTTCCTAAGGACGAATTTTTTTTTTAAATTTTTTAAAAATTTTGAAAAAAAGAAAAATTGAAATATTCAGATAGATTCGAAGTGTTTTATCATTATGTGCGATTTGGCATTTGTTAAATTTTATTTCCGATTCCTTCTTTCTGGAAATCCGTTTATCCCTCGGCTGACAGAGATTTCGTAACAAGCCGATGCATTCGCCGTTGATTCAATTTACGCAAATTTTACAACTCGATTAACGGCGATACCTCATCCAATCGCGTTATGTACCGACGTCGCCCAGCTAATGGACAGTTATTATCGTCCGACCGACGGATAATGGCCGATGGATATTGCGGCGGATGGGCGATATGGAGGCGCTAATTTTGTTGTCGCACCGGGTATGCTACGTCGAAATGCAATGCGCACCCTAACATCGGCTACGCATACGCACGCATGTACGCATTGTCCTCGTATTCCGCGGCGTTTGCATCGACAAAGGCCTTTCGCGGGGCTATCGAGTGTGCTCTGATCCGGTATTCATCACTCTTGCTATTCTGGTATACCGAGTGGCTGATTAGCTGATCCTTGAAAACGCTGTGCCTCGTATTGTGCGCAGAATCTAGCTTTTTTTTTTTTTTCGTTGAGAACTCTCGAGACTTCGCAAAATCTCGAACAACGTTTCTATTTCTGCCGTCGAACGTACAGAGGCAATCTGATCGATGATGAAAAAGCGGAAGGCTCGCACACCTCGCGAGTACTCTTATAAACTTTTCATGAAGAACTCGAAGGAGAAGTTCTTTACTTTCTTTAGAACCCCAACTTTAGAAATAAATTTTTTTTAAGCTTCTCTCGCCTTCCTGATAAACGAGCTGGACCCACCGTATCAAGTATTTTTGCTTGCACCGCGATATAATTGTGTGTCTCTCGGACACGAACTTTCCAACTTGTCGGAGAGGTAAGGTGTACATTTCAATGCAACGGCGGAACGACGCACGCCCACGGCGTCATCGCGGAATTGTCACCTTCGTTATAGACAGAGCCTGTATTGACTAGAATCACACGATATACCTCGATGCACCGTGACTGTTATATACGCTATATAACAACGTGATGCCACTGGCATCGCGCGCGGTTCGCTGAATACGACGTATTGTGCGGCGTCCCGTCCCGTCCCGTCCCGCTCGCGCGAGCCGTCCCGATAACGTCGTCCGTAACTCCCGAGTGAGTTTGCACCAGTTTCTGAGGTGGTTGCACCGCACAACGCTGCCGGTTATTGAACATCGAAGCGACGCGCGCTTTGAGTTTAATTAAACCAGGTTATTAAGGGACGAGACGGAGCAAATGGGCGAGCGCGCTCTAAATGTTCGACACACAGGCCTAGCGGTCGTTGAATTCATTGATAACGTAAGATCTCTCGAAACGGAATTTTCCTCCTCTGTCGCGAAAGAGCGAGGAGGAAAATAATGTAATTCTTTTTTCCTGGTTAGCGATATATACTCGAGCTATTTTTATAATTTTTATATTTATAAATATATTTATTTATTTTTATAATTTTTATAATTTTTATATACGATGAAGAAAATTATGAAAAGCTTCATACGACTTATTTTAAGTCGTATTTAAAAATAATAAAAGAGTTTAGCGACGGTTTAAAATAAAAAATTATTTAAATAAATAGAAATGGAACTGTGCTCTAATGGAAATGTAATTTAAAAATAATAACACATTCAATTTTTTTAATATAAATATTTTATTTTATTCTATTTTCATTTCAAGATTATTTATATAAAGTTTTATTGTGATGCAGAGATTAGTTATTGTTCTGCAAATAAAAATTTTATTTGTACTATCACTCGTTTCATTTGTATTCTTAATAAAAATTTAAATAATCATAAATCATCTTGAATATTTAACTTATATAAAAAAATTGAAGTTTTGTCATTATTTCTTAATTGCATTTCTATTAAAGCATTTCCATTTTATATTTAAATAATTTTAAATGCGATCTAGAATAATTTATAATTTCTTCAAAATTTTTTCACTGTGAATAAAAATAAAGATGTAGTATATATCCTCAACTAAATAATACATGAAATCAAATTTTATTTGTCCATTTTTTCGGCACGAGAACCGGCCATTTTTTCGCTTATTGTCCCGGCTATTATCCTTTTTCAACTTTCAGGTTCCATCGAGACAGCGGTATGGGCTATATACTTCCAAACTCATTCATCTCCGTTCCTTTTTTTCGGTTCTTCCCGCAGGAATTCACAACATAACGAGGTAACTTTTCGTTCGGTTAGAACGGCCGTTGCCGTCTAGACGAGATGCACTATATTAACACGGTATATTGCACCGACTGAATGGCTTATTCGAAAGCCCGGTCTGCGCCAACGGGCAGCTCTCTCTTAATTTTTCCCTACAAAAGGAGATTAGCATTCTCTCCTTTTTTACCCTCTTACCCTCCGCATTATCTCTTTCCATACCCTCTAATAGATGGTACGAGGGAGCCTTACATTGTTGATTCGAGATCAATTAGAATATCGACGACATAAACTAAAGCGGAAAAAATAGGACGAAGGTTAATTAAATTTTTAAAATTCAAGATAATATATAATTTACAATTGTCGTCGAAATATATATTTTTGAATGCCTGAGCAACTCATTTTTTTAAATCGTTCTTCGTCGAAACGGTAGTTCCGTCGGCTACGATTAGTCGCGAACTGGGAGCTCGTTTACTTTTCGGTTCGGGCTGATCGCGCCGACAAAGTACGAAAGCAAGCGAGCACGGGAGATTACAAAGATTCACTTTGATCACAAAGTGAAATGCAATCACTTCCTATTCTCTTTTTCTACCATCATCGGTGTGTCCGACCGGCGTGTTCCATAAAAGAGTTCATCTTCCATGACCTGAGGCTCCACGTTCAATATCACCTATCCGTTCCTCTTTCAGCGAAATAAATCTCGTAAATTCGTCTTACAGAGTGATCACCGGCATGCAATTCGTTTAACGATACGAACACGACTGCATTGTCGTTATGTAGACAATCAAGATAAATTGACGCGATGATTAATTAATTAAGATAAAAATTGTAA